TTTTTCACGTTCTCTATCTCCAAGCATCTCTTCTGAAAATTGTTTCATTAATATTTTATTAATATCAGTTCCAGACACCTTTTTTAATATTATATAAGCTTTCGCTTATTTTATCGTAATATCTCCATAGGAGCTCACTCCTCGCGGGCCAAACGTTTCAGCCGTGCTTTATTTTAGACGATTTTAAAATTCAGCGGAGCCCGAAAGGAACTCATTATCGAGAAACGGACGTCATTTCTGTGGAAATGATCGAACTCTGATTTTAAATTTTATTTTCGTAGAAGCCCCTTAATTTTATTTCTGCAGAGTATTGGAAAATTTCTACAATGTAAAAATTATTATAAAATTTTCGTAGTGTCGTGATGGAGCATCTTTGTATCATCAAATATTCGAACGAGATTTCTACAAAATTTGGGAAATTTCCTTTATATTACAGAATTAACTTTGACTCAGGAATTTTTCATGGCTAAATGAAATCGATCCGGCTGAACCGATTGCCTGTTTGCATGTCCCAGATCTTAGTCCGATCGTACCCCATTCTCGATCGATTATTATTATATTATTATGTCCTATTTCGACTTCGTGATAATGATTAGACGCGTGTGATTTGTCAACGAGATCGGGCTGACTAAAATGTGTTGCCTGTTCTGCATGTAGGCGTTTACGGGGATGTTCAGCGTGTGAAGATTCTCTACAACAAGAAGGACTCAGCACTCATTCAAATGGCCGAACCACATCAGGCGCATTTAGGTAATTTTGTTTTTTATTTTTTTTATTTTTTTTTTTCTGGAAATTTTAGAATTAGCATCGGAACTTCGATAAAGTAAAAATTTCCAGTGTCTATAAAATAAGAATGGATTTCATAACGAAATTATTTATATATATCTATATACTTATAAGTATAGATGTACATTTGCGGTAGAATTTAAAATGAAAGTTCACGAATTAAAACGTAATGAATAGAGGATTTTGTGAAACGGATTTGTCAACGATTTCTTTGAAATCTCAGCACTGACGCATATGGACAAATTGCGAGTGTTTGGCAAGCAGATCAAGGTAATGCTGAGCAAACATCAGACTGTTCAGCTACCAAAGGAGGGCCAACCAGATGCTGGATTGACGAAAGATTACACCAACAGTCCCCTTCATCGATTCAAAAAGCCAGGCTCTAAGAACTATCAAAATATCTATCCACCGAGCTCCACTTTGCATTTATCTAATATCCCGTAAGTGCAACGTTAAACTTAACTTTTGGATAAGTTCCTCTAATTCTTTTCAAAGCTGAGCGTAGCATTGTTCATTTTTTTTTTTTTAGAATTGAACTGTTCGGTATTTTTGATATTTTCAAATTGATCGATCGATTGATCATTATTGTCGTAATAAATATTGAAATGCTTTTGGCGTGTTTTAGCACAACCGTGACCGAAGAGGAGATCAGGGATGCGTTCACCAAAAATGGTTTCACCGTGAAGGCATTCAAGTTCTTCCCAAAGGACAGAAAGATGGCGCTCATACAGATGCCTAGTATGGACGATGCTGTAGCTGCTTTGATCGTAAGTATTTCTTTCGCCTTTCTCTTTAAACGTTTATTCGTCTCTTTCTTCCTAAAATTTTCAACTTCGACATTCTGAACCGTTTGAAATTCTGAAGTTAATTAACAATGATAACTGTTG